CAGACGCAGGGACAGAGGGGAGCCGTGCTCGCAGAGCGGCCGCGGCCTGGGCGCTGAACAGCGAGGCCCCTGCACCCCACAGTGCTCGTCACTCATGCGGGGGCTCACCTGACCCCCCAGATGAGGGCAGGGCCCCCGGCTGGCTCGGCAAGGCCTGGCCTCACCGCAAGCGCAGCTCCAGAACCTTCTGCCCCGTGACAGAGCCATCTCTCCAAGACAACCTGACATCTCTCGACGCGCCGCTGCGCTGCAGAGACGGGGGAGGTCCGGCGTTTCCGAGACTCCCGTCCACTACGCGCAGCCTGCGATGCACGCACGGTGATCCCGATCAGCTCAAACGCCGGACACAGAGCGCTCGTGAGAGCGGTGACTCGCGGGGACTTCTCCACACGTGAGCCCAGAGGTTCTTTTTTTAACCAAACTAAGGAAGCTCAGCTAGTGCACACACAGACAAGATGAGTTAGCACCAGGGAAATCTGCCCACTAAACCACGTCACGGCCGGGTCTGGCTCCTCACCCAGATCTGGGGCGGCCCTCGACTCTACCGTCACCGGCCAAGGAGCTCACCACCCACTGCTCAGAGTGATCCAAACAACTCTCAGTCTCTCCTTTTGATCCAGGAAAGGGGCCCACACATGTGGCCATCATCCCAGTGGTCAGGCCTGGCATCCTGTATGTTTGTAAAGATTTATTTATTTATTTGAAAGGCAGAGTTAGAGAAAGAGAAAGAGAAAGAGAAAGAGAAAGAGAAAGAGAAAGAGAAAGAGAGAGAGAGAGAGAGAGAGAGAGAGAGAGAAAGTTTTCCATCCCCTGATTCACTCCCCCAAATGGCCTCAGCGGCCAGAGCTATGTTGATCTGAAGCCAGGAGCCAGGAGCTTCTTCTGGGTCTCCCACACAGGTGCAGGGCCCCAAGGACTTGGGCCATCTTCCACTGCTTTCCCAGGCCATAGCAGAGAGCTGGATCAGAAGTGGAGCAGCTGAGATTCAAACCAGCGCCCATATGGGATGCCGGCACTACAGGCAGTGGCTTTACCCACTACACCATGGCGCTGGCACCTGGCATCCTTAACTCCCACCAGCTCTTGTCTGGGATTTACCAGCGAGATGCCAGAGCCCAGAACTATGCCACAGAAAACTGACAGCTCATGACAGAACAGAGACAGAGAACTGCGCCCACAGAGCTCAGCACCCCACAGCCAGCCTCCTGTCCCACGCACTGGCACACATGCCACACACATGCTATATACATGCTACATACACCACGCAAGCCATACGTGCCACAATGTCATATACATGCTACATATACCACACAAGCCACATGTGTCACACATGCCATATACATGCTACACACTATACATGCCACACTGTTACATATTCGCCACATATGGCACACATATGCCACACTCCACACACACTATGTGCTCACCACACACATGCTACATATACCATATACAAGTCACATGCTCACTCCACATTACACACAACACACACCACAAACACCAGACACACCACAATGCCACACTGCACACATGCCACGCACACCAGACACACCACAAGTACCATACATATGCTATATGCACCATATTCAAGCCACATGCCACACTCCACAATTACATATAACACACATATGCCACGCACACAACATACACCACGACCCCACATATGCCATATATGCCACACACACCACACACATGCTGCATGCGTCATATACACCACACATGCCGCATGCCACACACGCGTGTGTGAGCCCTGCGCAGCCGCACCTCTTCTCACCCGTGCAGTGCTGAGGGCGGAGGTCTCCCTGCGGGATGACACCCACGGAGCGCGGCACGGGGCAGTTCCCACACACCTGAATAACACCAGAGAGCCGACCGGAGAGGATCCACCCGCCAGAGACACTCGCCAGAAATCCCAGTCCACGAGCGTTTTCGGCCTGACCACGTAGGTATCGCAGGGCCGTCCCTGCACTGTCTAAGCTCCAGCTTCAACCAGACACGCCCTCCCCTCAGCTGCGGATCTGAAGCCCTGCTTCCCAAACACACACCTCATTCAAACGGGTCACTCCCCGCGCAGCTCTCCGAGAGGCAGACACACGGTCCCCAAGACGCGTACTACATACACCATACACACCACATGCCACAGTGCGCTGCAGCGAGCCGCAGGGACAGAGCCGCACGCCCTCTCTCACCACGAGGCAGGTGCACCGTGGCACACGGGGAAGCTGGGGAGAGGGCACCAAGACACAGGGCCACCGTCCACCTGCACTGGACTGGTCTCAGCCAGTGATCACCACCAGCAGGGGCACAGCCGTGATCTCTAGGAGGGTCCTGTGGGCACAGCCACCTCTTGCGGTTCCCAGGGGAGACCTCCCGCCTCCAGGCCCAGCCCGGGACCTGCTGTGGGGCTGGCACTGGGGCAGGGCACTCCTAAGAAGGGGCTGCACAGAGGCCAGGCCCACAGGAGGGAGCGGCCCGACTACAAGGATACAGAGTTCCAGGCTCCGCGCCTCTGACCTGCCGCCCCCTCCTGTCGGCACTGACACTGGAGCCCCTCTTTGGAGTGATCCTGAAAATATGTCCCAGACGCACACCTCACGGGGTCGCGAGACGCGGCCAAGCACCCAGCTCACGGGAGTCCAGAGCTGAGGAACCAGCCGGCTGCTGAATCCATCAGGTGGGAAAACGGGATATCAATTTAGAAATAATTTTAAAGCTCCTCCCAGAACACACAGAGAAACGCAAGCTGGAAGATCAGAGTAAGGAATGTCTTCCTAAGAGGCGTGTGACATCCAAACACAAAAAAAAGCAAAAAGTAGAACTGAAAAGCCATAAAGGAAAAAACGGACAAGTCGGATACTTCAGAACTTCTACAATAAAAGGCTTCCTGAGGCGAGCAGAAACAGATAAAGCATCTGAAACGTACGCACTGAGATTCAGACCCACAGTACACAAGAGTTCCGCGCGTTAAGAAAAGGACAAACAACACATTAGGAAAACGTGCAAAACCCATGAACAAGCAAACGCGAAAAACACAAATGCCCCACAAACGTGAACACCTGCTCACTCACAACAACTCAGAACAGAAACTGAAGTAGCAAACACGCGGCAGTGGGTAATTCATGGCATGAAGGAGGGCTGGCGTTGGGTGCAGCCTGCGCCGTCAGCACCCCTGTGAGCACCAGTTCAGGTCCTGGCTGCTCTGCTTGTGAGCACCTCCCTGCTAACACCCGGGAAAGCAGCAGACGGCCCTGCCACCCACGTGGGAGGCCCAGGGGATTCCTGGCTCCGCCACAGCAAGCGCTGGGGGAGTGAGCCATGATGGAGGAGCACTCTCTCTGTGTGTCTCTTCCTCTCTCTGTAACTGCCTTTCAAGTGAATCAATCAGTCTTTAAGAAATAAAAACAAATGCGCCAAGGCGGACTGCTGTCGAGGCCACTCCGGGTCAGCTCTCGGGGCTCTTCACTCCCGCTCGTGCACGGTCCCTCCTGCGTGTCGGGTTTCGGAGCAACGTCTGCGCAGGGTGTGCTATCCCCACGGGAACGGCCCACACTTCCTGCTTCTGCTCGGCTTCCCAAGCTCCCTAGCGAGTACCCTGCAGCTGCTTTCCTCACACCTGAGGCTCGGGCCTCCCGCTCACTCCCCGGTGACACACCCCACTGCATTTCAGGGCTCCCCAGCACCTCTCCGACCCGGGTCTCATGCCCTGGCTTTAACCTCATGGCCGTGCCCTGCCACCCTCCGTTATTTCTGAAAAAGTAATACCCTGTGACGCTTCTTAAAATGAAACATTTCAGAGCAGGCTTTGGGTCCTGCGGCTCCGACACACCCCACACTGGAGTGCCCGGGTTCACGGCCCCAGCTCCACTCAGGATTGCGACTTCCTGCTGCTGCGCACTCTGGGAGGCAACGGGTGCTGGCTCAGGTCCTTGGGTCCTTGTCACCCAAGTGGCACACCGGATAGGAAACCTGCCCATCATTCCAATATCAAAAACGTTCTCCAGCTGCCCAGAACAACGCGGGAACCCTCCGGACGGCACTGGTGTTGGAGCCAGGGCTGGGTCACCGCACACGGGAACCACCTCATTCGAGGACTTGGAAGGCAGCCGCCACTCTCGTGGGTTTCGGACACGTGTGACTTCCCCCAGGGAGCCGGCCCATCGAGGGGCTGCGGGTCATCACCTCAGGTGCTGCGTTTCAACAGCCAAGTAGTTACTAAGTGGGCACAGCAATCGCATCAGACGCGGAATGAGCAAATCACGGCCGCGGTCGTTCCCGAGGTGAGAGGCGAGTGGCGCTCAGTGCTGGCGGCTCGCTAGCCCACACGTCTCACTCATCTACGGAAACAACTTCCTGCAGACCAGCGGCTGTCTCCATAGATGAACCAGGGGGTGAGGCCTCCATCAAACGGCTGTGGCCACCTTAACTCAGGCAAAACGTCTCTAGCGCAGGGCCGGCGCTGTGGCGCAGCAGGTTAAGCCGCCGCCTTGGAAGCCAGCATCCTGTACGGGTGCAGGTTCAAGTACCGGCTGCTCCACTTCCGATCCGGCTCTCGCGAAAGTGCCTGCAAAGGCAGCAGCTGCTGGCCCGGCGCCACCCACACGGGCGACCGGATGCAGCTCCAGCTCCGAGTCCCAGACCAGGAGCCAGTCGATGCAAGACCTCTGTCTCTCCCTCTGTCACTCAGAGCATCTTTCAAATAAAACCATAAATCCTGAACAATAAAATTCCTTGACTGTGGAGACAAATGTTCCTAGCTTTTTTGTTTTTTCAATTCTAAGTAGAAAGCAGATCTAAAACTACAACCCACATGAATACGTAAACGTACATGCAAACGCTCTCCTGTCAGAACCCCCGGAAGAGCCGCCTTGAAACACCAGCCCCAGGTTGGGTCCGGCTCTGCCGCTGGCCTGCCGAGGGGCGGCCCTCGGCTAGCACCGTTCACCGTCAGAGTGAATTCTACCCCAAGACAGGGCAGCGTCTCTGAGGAACCCAGCACCAACCTCTGCTTCACCAGCCTCCTCCCTGCAGACGCCACCGGCCCCGCCCGGGGGCTCTGATCTCTATCTTTCTAGAACTTTCCGTGCAAAGCAACACCTGCTAGCTGGCTCGCAGGAGAAGGGAGGGGCACGCGCGGCTTCGTGGAGAACGTTAAAAGCTCCTTAACTGAAACCTCGCCTTCCGTGTACAACAGTCCCCACAGCAAAAGAATGGAGAACTATCAAAGCATTTAAAATCATAAAAAGCAGGAAAATCTGTCAACAGAGGGGGCCAAGCTGTTTAAAATTCTGCTGGCTGCTACCTGGACGTCATCCGCCCTGTCAGCCGTCTCTACACGCACAGGACCACCTGAGTTCAGGAGTCAGCACCGCTGCACAGTGACGGGCGTTACTCCACCCAGCCGGTTGGCCTGTGTGCACGGGGGCACGCGTGTCTGCTCGTGTGCCTGTGTGCACGGGGGCACGCGTGTCTGCTCGTGTGCCTGTGTGCACGGGGGCACGCGTGTCTGCTCGTGTGCCTGTGTGCACGGGGGCACGCGTGTCTGCTCGTGTGCCTGTGTGCACGGGGGCACGCGTGTCTGCTCGTGTGCCTGTGTGCACGGGGGCACGCGTGTCTGCTCGTGTGCCTGTGTGCACGGGGGCACGCGTGTCTGCTCGTGTGCCTGTGTGCACGGGGGCACGCGTGTCTGCTCGTGTGCCTGTGTGCACGGGGGCACGCGTGTCTGCTCGTGTGCCTGTGTGCACGGGGGCACGCGTGTCTGCTCGTGTGCCTGTGTGCACGGGGGCACGCGTGTCTGCTCGTGTGCCTGTGTGCACGGGGGCACGCGTGTCTGCTCGTGTGCCTGTGTCCCCGTGCACACACGTGTGTCTGCTCGTGCGCGCTGTACATGCACGAGTGTGTCCATCATGCATGCCCATGTGTGTGCATGACCAGGTGTCTGGCCTATCTGCACACCTATGTCTGTGGCGTGTGCAGCCGTCGTGTGTACGTGAATGCATAACGTGCTTGTGCATGGTGTGTGCATGCATGTGTGTCACGTGCATGCCCGTGTGTGGTGCACGTGCATCCTTCTCTGTGCGTGTGTCCCCTGCTGAGCACACCTGAGCGGCCCACTGCGGTGCCCTTGCTTACAAGTTCCTAATGCCCGTGGAGACACCATCAGCTTGAGGTCAAAGGTGTTCACTGATGCAAATACATACGGGTAACTAGCAAAAAGGAATGGCCAGTGGCTCTGACAGGTGCCTGTGTCTGCACCCGCCAGCCCGGGCTCCAGACACACCCCAGCTTCAGGACACCCGGACGTGGGGCCACCTGGGCACAGGGCCAGCCACGGGGGCCTGGGAACAAGGTTGCTCAGGTGGAATCCCCGGGTGACCTGGACCGCGGCCACCCAAGTACGCGCGCTCACCTGGTGCCGGTTCGGGGGCGGCCTCCTCGCTGCTGTCATCGCCGGCCTCGTCCGCCAACCCAGAGCCTGGGGAGTCGGCGGTGGCACAGGCTGAGGCCGGGCTGCTGGGCTGGGAAGCCGAGTCCCCCTCGCTGAGGGAGCCGCAGCGGGCGCGCACGGCCCGGTCGCCGTCCCTGTCTCGGCGAGCGCGGCGGTGCACACGGGAGTGCAGCACCATCTGGTGGTAGGTGCGGAAGATCTTGCCGCACTCGAAGCACTCAGAGGACTTGCCCTGGCCAGCGGCGGCCGCGGCCCGGCGGCTGGGGCGTACGGCGGGCCGCGGGTCAAGGTGGCCCGGCAACATGGGGTCACTGGGCAGGCTGGCCCTCTTCCTGGGGGGACCCTGGGCAGCCGGCGCGTCCTGCTCACGCTTGCGCTTCTCCTGGCTCACCAGGATGTACTCGCGCCTGTCCTTGTCGAAGGCCACGTCCCCAGCCAGCGCCTCGTCCCAGGCCCCATACTTGAGGTACTCGGCGGGCTCGGCCACCTTGCCCCTGGTGGCCAGCTGCCAGGCCTGGTAACTGTTGACGGGGTCCAACTCGGCCACCCGCCGTCCAGCCGGCCCGCCGGGGAGCTTGTCGCTGGCCGCCGAGGGCCTCAGACTCAGGCACTGTAGGAAAAACTGCTTGGTGTCCGTGGGGCCCTCGGAGGCCCCGTCCTCGGCCGGGGCCCGCGTCCGGCTGGCTTCGACCCGGCGGTGGATGGCGTTGTGGGCATTCAAGCTGTCCAGGTTTGTAAACAGGTTTCCGCACTTGGCGCACACCTCGTAGAGGGACAGGCCGGCGACAACGACCTCCTCCTGCACCACGTTGTTGATGGTGGCGACGGGGTCCAGCTCGCCGCGGGGCCGGTTCTTGCTCCCAGGTTTGGGCCCGTGTGCCTTCATGTGGTTCTTGAGGAACCACGGCTCCTTGAACCTCCGGCCGCAGATGTGGCAGCCGTGGTCGAAGGAGCCGCGGTGCTTCTTCATGTGCGCCTTGAGGAACCAGGTCTGGCTGAAGGCCTGGCCGCACACCTCGCAGGGGAACTCCCCCGGGCCCAGCTCGGGCTTGCCGTTCTCCATGGAGACCCCCACGCCGTTGGGCACCTGCACGGTGATGTGGTCCCGCTCGACGTGGCTGAGCAGCGACTCCTCCCGCAGCGTCACGAAGCTGCACAGCCGGCACTTGAAGGGCTTGTGGGCCTGGTGCACGTGCAGCTCCAGGTCCTTCTTCCGCTCGAACTGGGTCCTGCAGAAGGAGCACTGGGCGGCGGGCTGGGCCTCCTCCGGGGCGCCCGCGGCGCCCTCGGCCTCCCTGCGGCTGCTGCGCAGCAGGATCCGGCCGCCGTCCCCGGGCGCGGCCCCGTTCAGCACCCCGTTGCAGGCCGACGTGCTCTTGGTGGGGCTGGCGCACCCGTCCAGGCCCTCGGCCGCACGCGGCTCACCCGGCGGGGCCTCCCCGGCCTCGGGCTCGTGGCCCTGGATCAGCGTCCCCGTGCGGTGGCCGCGGATGTGGACCTTCAGGCTGCCCTTCTGCGAGGCCCTGTGGTCACAGTAGGGGCACTTGTAGGGCTTCTCCCCGGTGTGCTTGCGCATGTGCTGCGACAGCGAGCTCTGGAAGGCGAAGCTCTTGCCACAGAGGCAGCAGCTGTGGCACGCGGCCTTGTCCCCGTCCCCCTCGCGGCTCCGGCTGGCCCTGGGGGGGCTGGGGCCGCCCCTTGGCTCCGGCTCGGCCTCTCTATTTCGATCCATGGGGACGAGGGCGTGGGTGCGGCACGGGGTTCCGGCGTCTTATCTCTCCATCCTCAGAGCGGCGTCTGGATTCCCGGGATGAGGCGGGAACCCGCAATGGGAAGGGACATATTCCACGCGGGGCACACGGCACGCGGCAGCCAGCACCTGGAACGGAGAGGGGAGATGTCACTCGCAAGGCTCCCCACGCGGCAGGCAGACTGCACCAGGCAAACATCATCCACCCCACAGCCAGAGAACTAGTGCCTGGGCCACCGCCGAACTGTGCGCCAGGTGATTAAAACTAGTGCCTGGAGCGGAACATGGACCAAAACCATCTATTTTTTCCCACAACAGCACATTTGTAAGGAAAGACCGTGGCAACAGCCTGCAGGAGCCCGGGAGGGAGCTGGGAGGAGGCCGAGGCCGCGAGCCGAGGGACGTGCAGCCACGCTGACGCGCCAAGGCGGGCCGTCCCAAGAGAGAGACCGGGGATCCAACCAGGAACAGAGGAGGCGCAAACACGCCCGGGGCTCCGGAAGAGGGCCGGGCCGCTGCCCAGCCTCACGTTCCCACCTGTGTGGCCAGAGGTCAGCCAGCCAACTGGACAAGCTCCCCGGCCTGGCTCACGCGCCCTCTCCCTCCGGGCCCAGCCCTGTTCTCTCCCAAACGCTCGGACGACAGGACTCAGACCCAACTCTGATGTGAAGTCCGCCCCAGACCCCATGGGGCTCTGTGTGATCTGCCCATCCTCCTTGTCCACAGGCCAGATGCCCACAGTGCCTGCCCAGAGAGGACGGGACCACCTCGAGAGGGGCTGTCCCAGCCCCGGGGGCACCAGCATCGGTCACACCGTATGGTCACTGCCTCTTCAGGCCCATTCACTAAGCCCCTCCTACCAGGTGCACAGGCAGAGGCCAGCCCTACTAAGGTGGTCTGTGTCAGGGACACGACAAGTGACAGCAAGGGACACACATCTCTGAGCACAGGGACAGGACAGGGGACAGCAGGGGACGCACGTCTGTGAGCACAGGGACAGGACAGGGGACAGCAGGGGATGCACACCTACTGTGAGCACAGGGACAGGACAGTGGACAGCAGGGGACACACATCTACTGTGAGCACAGGGACAGCAGGGGACACACGTCTGTGAGCACAGGGACAGGACAGGGGACAGCAGGGGACACACATCTGTGAGCACAGGGACAGGACACGGGACAGCAGGGGACACACGTCTGTGAGCACAGGGACAGGACGGGGACAGCAGGGGACACACGTCTGTGAGCACAGGGACAGGACGGGGACAGCAGGGGACACACGTCTGTGAGCACAGGGACAGGACACGGGACAGCAGGGAACACCCATCTCTGAGCACAGGGACAGGACAGGGGACAGCAGGGGACACCCATCTCTGAGCACAGGGACAGGACAGGGGACAGCAGGGGACACCCATCTCTGAGCACAGGGACAGGACAGGGGACAGCAGGGGACGCACATCTGTGAGCACAGGGACAGGACAGGGGACAGCAGGGGACGCACGTCTGTGAGCACCAGGACAGGACAGGGGACAGCAGGGGACGCCCATCTCTGAGCACAGGGACAGGACAGGGGACAGCAGGGGACGCACGTCTGTGAGCACAGGGACAGGACAGGGGACAGCAGGGGATGCACACCTACTGTGAGCACAGGGACAGGACAGGGGACAGCAGGGGACACCCATCTGTGAACGGCCACATGTACAGGGGCTGCCTACATCAGGGATCCCCTGTGAAGCACAATGAGATGGAGACAGGACCACGTGACTCACATTCTGACTTCAGGGTGAACGCGGCCTGGGCAAGTGTGTCAAAGAACAAACCGTGTGAGTCAGGCCGGGACATGAGCATGTGCCCACCCCCATGGAAACATCACCTGCCAGTGTCCCCCTGGGATCGCTAACTCCACAGAGGTGTCCACAGGGACCAGCGCACCCCGAGACACACACCAGGAGAGAGCATTTTACGAGGGCCAAAGGGTATGTGCGGACCCAGTGCAAGTGGACACCAGTCCCTGATGGCATCACAAGGCCCCGCACCCCACGCGTGCTCTTGGGGTCTCTGGGCAGTGCCAGGGGTGCTTCCTGAGCATCCACTGCAAACACGCGTGGCCACAGTCACAAGCCAGAATCGGAGAAGCCAAGAAACGGGGCGGGGCTGCGGGAGTTCAAGTCGGAGAGGGCAGCGCAGCACGCAGTGTCCCATGGGACCAGTCTCCACGTGTCCAGGGAGGGGGCCGCCAACCACGCGGAGCAACAGCTCCGCATCACGCAGCACTGGGAGGACCCTCCCAGACCCCCAGGAACAACCGCACCCTGCCGGCCAGACCCCTCCCCATTCCCTTGGCAGGCCGTGCGTCCACCCTAGTCAGGTGGACACAGCTCCTGGACACTCCTTCACAGGCTTCTACCACCCTTAAGACAAAGCTGGGGCTCCTCATAGCTTGGCTGGCCGGGGCCTGGCCACTGCACTGCCCCATCCCACACCAGCAGGCTCAGGGACCCGCACACACACGCGTGCCCACTCAGAGCAGGCAGAGGCTGACCCGCCTCATCCCGGGTAACGCCTTTCTCAGCCCCTTTTCAGTCCCCTGGGTTGCAGACAGACAGATGGGTGAACAGAGGCCAGCATGTGGCTGAGGCCAGACAGACCACCAGGAATCAAAGCCCAGTTGTGGCACTAACTCGGGTCAGCCCTGTGACACTGAGACGCATCTTCCTGGTGTCTCGTTCCTCAATCCCTATCTTCATATTTAAGACATAAATGACCCGGACACGCGGTACTTCTGTGTGGCTTAAACAGTCACTGGCAACACAGCTGAGTGACGATCAGTAACTGTCAAATGAAGGAATGAAGGGGGCCAGCGCTGTGGCGTAGCGGGTAAAGCTGCCACCTACAGTGCCGGCATCCCATATGGACACTGGTTCAAGTCCCAGCTACTCCACTACACCAGGGCTTTAAGGACACAACGGGTGATTTGATAAAAGTTCTCGGGGGTTGGCACTACGGTGCAGCAGGTTAGGCCATGGCCTGCAGTGCCGGCATCCCATGTGAGTGCCGGCTTGAGTCCCGGCTGCTCCACTTCTGACCCAGCTCCCTGCTAATGCGCCTGGGAAAGCAGCGGAAGATGGCCCAAGTGCACCCACGTGGGAGACCCGGAAGAAACTCCTGACTTCAGCCAGGCCCAGCCCCAGCCGTTGTAGCCATTTGGGGAGTGAACCCAGTGGATGGAAGACCCACTCTCACTCTCTCTCTCTAACTATGCCTTTCAAGTAAATAAATGAAACGTTTTTAAAAATAAATAAATAAAAAGTTCTCTCGCCAACGGCTATAATCCTCTGCAACAGCCACAGCCAAACCATTCCAGCTCACAAGCCCTTCACAACAGACCTGACTCCGGGTGGGTCCTAGAGCCTGCTGCTTCTGCTGAGACCGGGCCTAGGCCACAGGGACAGACTGGTGTCACCACCACCGCCGCGTGCGTATCGCTCTCTGTCGCTATGAATTCGGCAGCTTCTTCACCAAGTCAGCTTAAAAGGAAGGAACCAACCCACCGGCCCTTGCTGACGGAACACGGTGGAAGGCGGCGCGCCCCTCCCCGCCCTGGGGACCCTGGCTCTGTCGGTCACCTCCGGTCCCCGAAGGAAAGCGGAAGACAGAAAAACCCTGTGATAACACACACAGCCCGGCTGGAAGGCAGCTCCGACTCTCCGCGGCGCAGGGGCGGACCCCAGGGAAAGCTGGCCAGGGGTCCACGGGGCCTTCCCGGCTCTGCTGTCCTGCCACGCCTGGCCAGCTGCACGGGGCGCCCACACCTGCGATGCCTGCCCCCACAGCCCCGCAGCCCCACAGCCCTGGGGCTCGCTCCACCAGAATCTCACCCCGGAAGAGGAAGCGGCGCCAGTCTCCACACCCCACGGACACTCGCTCAGGGCGGACAACGGGACGACGAGGCGCTGGGAACGGACGGCCACGTCCTGCTCCGAGGCGGCAGCCAGCGCCCGTCAGGCTACCGTTCCCTGATGAGGGCCACGAGCGACCCGTCACGACACTGGACGCCGACACCCACACCCTTGTGAGAACCCGGATGGCCACACTGTCATTAGAAAGCTCCGGAGAGATCCACGGCGCCGCTGCCGGCCGAGCAGCCTCGGGGCTCCCCGTCCACAACCACTGAACCCAAAGGCTCGCCCCGGCAAGCCTCCGAGGAGAGGCTGGGAGACTGGGCCGCCCCGCGTGGGCGCCGGCCCCGTGGGCGCCACTGCACACTGCGCCTGCTGTTCTCGGGGCACAATGTAGCCGGCCTCACTAGCTACCCTGTAGTACGCTGGCCACGAATTAAATGCATCATTAACATCCTCGACCAGCTTATCTGAGCCCTGAGACAAAAAGCCTATTCTTGGGACAAACAGGGAAATTCCAGGACGACAATGAGGAGTTCCTCTCCCGCAAACCACCCTGCACGGGAGCAACAATCGCAGGCTTAGAGTGGCCAGGCCGGGCCCGGACAGCCCGTGAAGCGAAGCATTCAGCCCGGGAGGGCGGGCGAGCGCTGGACGCCAGGCCTCACGGCTGCTGCTGGCCTCAGACCAATCAATAATCCATTATGAACGAGCTGCATTTCCAGGCTAGGAAGAAGAAATGAATAAAAGGCCACCAGAAGGAGCAGCCCCGCCCCGCCCCCACGCAGGGGACCAGGACACAAGCCCACTATGCCAGGGCGTGCCCGGCGGCAGCTCCAGGGCCCGCGGCAGGCCCAGCTCCAGTGAGCTCACAGGCATCCCCCCAAAACTCATCCTGGACTTGGGGCGCAACTAGCCTTTGTCCAGAGGTGAGGCGGCGGTGGCCAAGATGGCAAAACTCCCTGTCCTTCAGAGGCTCCCTGTAGGCCCTAAGCACTGCCCACCCCCACGGGTGACTCCAGGCAGGCGCCCACACGCGGGCCCCCGGCGTAAGCCGCTGTCCCCGCTCTAGGACATGAACTCTGTGATGACGGAACACTGGCTTCAGCCCCGCCGCCCAGGCCGCAGCCACTGCTCACTGTCCCCCGGGACGCATGCTGGCCTGCACGGGACTCTGGACACAGGCTATCTTTAATGAAGCTCTGAGCCACCACGCAAGGAAAGCCCTGGTGCGGGAGGGCACACACGCTCCCAGCTTCCTGATACAGCCCTGGTGCGGGAGGGCACACACGCTCCCAGCTTCCTGATACAGCCCTGGGGCGGGAGGGCACACACGCTCCCACTTCCTGATACAAGCGGAAAGAACAGACCAGCATCAATATGTGAACCACCCCGTGTCCTTTCTGTCCTGCCAGAACATAAAGGCTGGTGTCAGCTCTGACCTCACGGCAGGGGGCGGGGCATCTGGAAATACAAAGCATGGCTCTTGATGACATTCAGGAAAGTCTGTGCACGGAGGAGGGAGGAGGGGAGGCTCCCTGCCCAGTCATGTACAGGACGTCAGGAAGTCCAAAGCGGCCACAGAGACGCGAATGCAGCAGCGTCCCTGTGCAAGTGCGGGCACTGGAGTCTCTGCCTCCGGCGGTCTTCTCGCCACCATCGGTGCGTTTCCGGGACTTCTCCATACGACTGATTCTTCCCCGAGTGTTCCCTCGAGCTGTGACGCTACCGATCTATTGGCCACTAAAAAAGTAAACTTGACAAAAATGTTAGGAAGAAAGGTAAGTGAACTGTGGCTGGGGCTTGGCGGTAACAGGTGTTGTGCCTGACCCTGGCACGGGGGTCTCAGCCGGCAGAGTCCCAGTGTGGTCAGCACTCCCATCAGGAGCCCTCCCCAGGGGCTCGAGCACCCCACGCCCCCAGCCAGGAGGCTGGGCTGAAGCCCTGGGTCCCTGAGGGGCTGGGCTGCTCCCTGTGTGCGGCAGACACCCGGCCACAAGAGCACCAGGCCCACAGCACGGCCGGACAGGCAGAAGCTGCAAAGCAGGCAGAGACCCTGAACCCCGGGACAACCCCGGAGAGTGAAGCCTGCAGGGTGTCTATTTTTAGGGCCTTGGAGAAACTGCAGGGAAAGGCCAAGTGACAGGCAGCCTGGAGGTCTTCTCCAAGCCCAACCCAGAAACCGTCGGCAATTCAGCACCTAACAGAGCATTTTCAAGGTTCTTCAGAAACGCTCGGCAACGCCCATCTTCCCACTTGGAACACTGCCTGCTCGCTACTGCACACCCTCTTCTGGAGCAGTTTACTGGAATTAGCTTCCACAGAGACGCTGTGTCTGTCACGCTGGCTGAGCCACCAGCAAAGAGCCATACCTGCCGTCCCGGTGACCCTGTGTCTCACCCCTTCCCGGAAACCAGCATTCTCTCCCGAGGGTGAGAAAACAGGCCGCAGTGATGCCCGCCCAGCGTCCTCTTCCCTCTGCGCTTTTTGTTTCAAAGAGGCTGCAAGTCTGAAAAGAACTGTGCTCTCGAGTGCACAGGGAGGTGACTCCGTGCAGCAGGCCGCACGCCTTCCGGTAAGCGTCACCTCCTGGCTGGCCTGGTGAGCACCAAAGTCCGTCCCAAAAACCCCTTCGCTCAGAGCTCACGGGGAGGGATCAACCACTTCAGCCACTGCTGCTCCTGACTTGTAAGTAATCGCGTGTCTGTTTCCTGATGGGCGGGACGGCTGGGAGGCACATCACCCAGGGAATGGAGATTCTGTCTGTCGTTTTGCACACGCGCCACCCGGTCCTTTCAGAGGCTCCCCAGCTCGAAAGGACAGTCTCCCCCGAGCCCCGGTTGGCAGGCCCAGCTCCATTACTGCCGAGCACGGCCACCGTACCGTGACCTAGTTTATCTCCGATCCGCGCTGCACTCAGGAAGCAGCTGCGTGCCTCCGCCCGGTAGGCGGCCGGTCGGGGACTGTGCAGAGAGAGCGACTGCGACAGGAACACAACGTCACGGTTCCAAGGCTGCGTCCTGCACCGTCTCATGCTGCATTTGCAAACACCCTGGATGGCAGGGCATCACACTCCCAGGGTCTAAAGGTAAAAGCCAGCCCCGCCCCCCAACAACACACACAGACACTCCTTGCAAGGACAAAGGACCCACGAGCAAAACCCCCCTTCGGCTCCCAGTGACAACGGCAGTGTGGCTCCGCTGCACAGTTAAAACCTGGCACCTGCGGTCGGGGCACATGGCCTTGCAGTGGTCGGGGACTCTTCTGCCAAGCCACGCCGTCCTTCCATACTGCTCTTGGTAGAAGTGAAGGCAAAACAAAAAAAGGCAGCCACACCAGTCGCTTGCCATGGCTTTCGGAGACCACGAAGACCATGCACGCGGGCCTCAGGGTTGTCACGGCACTGAGGTCACGACAGGCACGGTCCCACGTCCTAACTCATCATCCGCCACCCTGGCCTCGCTCCACTCTGCCACACTTCACACCTGGGCTAGAAACACACACAGCTCGAGTCTTCCCCTGGCCTCATCCGATGTGACACTGGGAGCAGGGAGCGGGCACTGCCAGGGCCACGCCAGCACGCTGCAGCCTCGAGGCTCGGCCTCTGCTCACGCCCACCCAGCCCAGGCACGGCCGGGGCAGAAGGAACGCGAGGCCTGGAGGCCAAGCCGGTATCTGCCGGTGCTACTGCACCTGCTTCCAGAAAGTGACGTGCACTTGAAGCAACCGCATAAACACCTGCTGTTAAGGGACGGCTACTCGCCAGCCGACCTCCTGAGTGTACACGGGGCACGCGTGACACAGTCTGAGTCCGTGACTCCGTGTCAGGACCCACACCACGCACAGGTGCACGGTCCTCTGCACAAGGGAACAGGACGCAACTGAGAAATAAGCCAGCTCCAGGCCCAGAAAGAAAAGCAGCCACGTTTTCTTATTTGCTGTCACTCACTTGGTACATAGTTACCAAATCTGGCCTCCCCAGATCACAGCAGGGAAAGGAAAATGTACCCCAGCTTCACATAAAAGACAAAGAAGGGGGGCAGTGAAGACTCTCAGGCACTGTTACTGCTTTGGTTTTTTTATCATTTTTTTTTTTTTTGACAGGCAGAGTGGACAGTGAGAGAGAGAGACAGAGAGAAAGGTCTTCCTTTGCCGTTGGTTCACCCTCCAATGGCCGCCGTGGCCAGCGCGCTGCGGCCAGCACACCGCGCTGATCCGAAGCCAGGAGCCAGGCGCCTCTCCTGGTCTCCCATGGGGTGCAGGGCCCAAGCACTTGGGCCATCCTCCACTGCACTCCCTGGCCACAGCAGAGAGCTGGCCTGGAAGAGGGGCAACCGGGACAGAATCCGGCATCCCGACCGGGACTAGAACCCGGTGTGCCGGCGCCGCAGGCGGAGGATTAGCCTAGTGAGCCACGGCGCCGGCCACTGCTTTGATTTAAATTTGGGTGTCGGTTATGAGGGTGACGGGATGACCAAATGTCACTGATCTCCACACACTAGTGCATTTCTAGGTGTGTACACTGCATGTTAATAAAATGTTTAAAAAGAAAAGAAACGGCTCCTACCTACCTGCTGCAGCCCCACCACTCGCGGCTGAATGGACAGACGGCTCACTCCCCCTCCCCGCCCGGGCTGGAGCTCATGGACCACAGGGCCAGCCGTCTCCCCGCAAAGGCCACACCGGTCCCAGCACCATGAGAGCCAACACACACTCCTTCCCGAGAGTTAAGGCTGTCAACCCAGCTGCCCAGGGAACTGCCCCTCCCCCCACGAGGGAGCCCACTGCTGCGCACCTCACCCTGCTGCCACCCGGCTGCCCACCATTCTGTCACGGAGCTAGGAGTGCTCAGTCCTACTGTATTCAGGACCTTCTAGAAGCAAAGGCTGGGCTGGTGGTGAAGGACTGTGGGTGAGAGGGACAAGCACGTTCAAGCCAGGCTCCACCGAAGGCCCAAAGCCTCCCTCTTTTTATCCACCATGCCTAAGCCTGGCCATCCACCCAATGCAGCCAGGTGCCCGATGCCCAGTGCAGGCACGGAGCTGGGGTAAAGACAGCGCAGGGACAAGCCCCCAGCTCCACCTGGAGAGTGCACCCAGCAGTCTGGACTCTGAGGGCGCACTTAAGGCCGCTTCGGCCAGCTCGAACGTTCTGGTAATGCCTGCGTGGCACACACACACTGGGACGCAGTCAAACCCCAGCCCTCAGACACACGATGGGGTTCCAGGGCGCCACACTAAACTCACTGGCCGTGATCCTGAACACAGACACTGTCGCTTTCTCAACCCTGCACTGGAAATCCCACTTCCATGGATGCATACGGACGCACACTGCGATGCTGTCTGATTTCTCGTTTTGGGTTTATTGCTAGTTCTCTTCGGTCTTCCACAATCACTTTGTTGTGGATCCAGTAACTCACACAGGCGCCGTCCTGTGTGAGCGGTGAGACACAGGGAGAGACCGGCACCGGCTCTGGGTCTGTCTGTCCACCGACTCAGGCTGCCGGGCGCCAGGGAGGGGCCCGTGTTCGGCAGCAAAGACGGCCGTGTGTGCACGTGCAGCTGCGCACGCAGGCACTGTGCACGTGGAGGGGAGGGGTGGGCCTACGTTTCTGGGAAGTTCTCAACAGGAGCTGCAGGACTGGCAGACACCTGTCGCCTCCCCCTGCTCAACGTGAATCACTCCACAGAGATGAGCACGCTCAGCTCTGCTTGCTTCGGCAAGACCGGCTTGCAGGGGCGGGGGAGGGTAGAGTGGGGCATCCAGGAAAAACCGCTTTCAAGACTAAAGTGGGGCCAACCCCACACTGACAGGGCTCTCAAGGCAAAAGAATAATGAATCAATCAACATTTTTTAAAGGTTTATTTATTTGAAAAATCAGAGTTACAAAGAGAGAGGGACATGCGAGAGAGAGAGAGAATCTCCCATCCACCGGTTCACTCCCCAGCTGGCAGCGGAAACCAGGAGCTTCGTCCACTCTCCCACATGGGCAGCAGGGGCCGGAACACGTGGGCCTCATCCAGCTGCTTCCCCAGGCCACAGCAGGGAGCTGGACTGCAAGGGGAACAGCCGGGGCACGAAGCAGTGCCCCCACATGGGATGCTGGCATCACAGTGGCAGCTTTACTGGCTGTGCCACAGCGCCAACCCTCAACTTGTTTTTTGAAGACCATTTGCATCTCGGGATCAAGAACAAAAACTCTCAATGCCACGCAGAACCACGGTGTGATTCCACATCCACCAAGACTGCACGCACGCAGTGGATGAACCTCACGTGGCATCCGCCACTACACGCGGTCCACCCCACACAGCAGGTGCACGGAGCAAGCACGGGGCTGCCCTGTCTCAGGCGCTTCCCAACCACTGAGGAGCTGACCACTTACTGCTCCGGATCCGCTGTGTCCGAGGGAGGCGGCGGGATCCACAGTCCGCATCTGCAGCCGGCGCAGACTCTCCCACGACGGTGCCGGCGCTGCTCCAGTTTCCCTTCCCTAGAAAGCCGGCGGGAGACCCTGCTCCCGGAGATGTACAAGGGCCCCAGGAGCCAGCAGGCTGAGGGCAATGCCAGGCGCAGAGAAAGCAGGCAGCTGTGGGGGTGGGTGTGCGAGAGCACACGCACATCACGGCGTCCGTGACGGTGGTATTTTTAAAGATTTATTTATTTATTTGAAAGTCAGAGTTACAGAGAGAGAGGAGAGGCAGAGAGAGAAAGAGGTCTTCCATCCGCTGGTTCAATCCCCAATTGGCTGCAACAGCCGAAGCTGCGCCGATCCGAAGCCAGGATCCAGGAGCTTCCTCTGGGTCTCCACGCGGGTACAGGGGCCCAAGCACTTGGGTCATCTTCCACTGCTTTCCCAGGCCACAGCAGAGAGCTGGATCGGAAGAGGAGCACCCGGGACTAGAACCGGGGCCCATATGGGATGCCGGAGTTGCAGGCCAGGGCTTTAACCCGCTGAGCCACAGCGCAGGCCCCTGTTGGTGGTCTTCAGGCTGGAGTCTGGCAGTGAAAATCCTCAGAGAGCTCGGGACAAAAGAGCCACCCCCACCCCCGGGCCTGCAAGGAGGCGGGGAGCAAGACGCGGGGCGCCCGGCTCCGCCAACAGGGGGCGCCAGTCCTGGCGAGTCCCCGCCGCACCTGGGGCCGCCCCAATCCAGAATCCAGAGACAGACCCCAGGCTGGCTCCTCCACGCTGCGGCACCAAGGCTCCTCCCAGGTTCACGGGCGGCCAATTCTCGTCCTTTCTGCCACTAGCTCTATTTTCATCTTTGTCACCTGGGAGGAGGAGCCCGCTGTGGCCACGCCCACGTGACCCACCGCCCTGGGGACCTGAACCCCCGCGCGGCCTCCTGGACCGGCCAGGGCTGGGGGCTGGTGCTACCTGTGGTTCTGGAACTCAGAAACTCCTCGGCGCACACCCACGGGAAACCGCCTCACGGGGGGGGGGGGGGGGGTGCGGGGGGGGCAGGATGATGGAGAACCGAGAACCACGCGTGGGCGGCTCCCCTACGCCCTCTCCCGCACCCGCGCACACGCAGCCCCTCAGGCCGGCGCGCCCCGCAGGAGGGCCAGGGCCATGGCCAGCGGCCACCTGCTTCAATGCGTGCCTGCCCCACACCGGGACCCTGCCCCCATCCCCCGGCCCGTGCGCTGGGTCACTGGACCCTGTGGCCGCCACATGTGCGGCGTGGACTTCCGAGGAAACCCCCGCAGTTCCCGGGCCCCGACTCCATGGACAACACCTGCGCTCCTGTTTCAGTGCCATCTCCTCTCCACCATCACACTCCTCTCCACACCTCCCAGCTGGGGCCGGAACGGTGATCCCGGCTTGGCGATCCCGGCTTGGTGGCAGTGCCAGGCCCGGGATGGGCCAGGCCGGAACGGCAGCCTCCAGGAAGCCAACACAGCCGCCCAGCGCACACGGCCCTGGGCCTGCGGGGTCCTACAGGTGCCCAGGCCGAGCGCCGGCCACCTCGCTGGGACTGCAGGATGACCAAAGGCTGGGAATGACAGTCTTGGCACGTTAAGCAATGTCTGCCGTCGCTCCTCTTGGAGAAGGAAACGTGACGCAAATGCCCAGGCTGACTTCCGAGCCGCAGCTGAGGCGTCCGTGTCCTGTCCGGGGTAAACTGAAGCACCCAAGTGCAGCTCCTGGGACACACAGACGAGACGGAGCCTCTGCGTCCCAGGGCAGGGTCTCAGACACAGCCCCAGGAGGCGTCCACGTGTATCAGCCCCCATCACCTGGACTGCCCGGAGCTGCAGCCACACACAGCACCCGTGAGACCTGGGGGCAGCACCCGAGTTCACAAACCACACGGCAGACGCCGGGCCAGTCCACGACCAGGACTCCGGCAGCACGTGGGACCCTGCCTCTGGCCGGGCCAGTCCACGACCAGGACTCCGGCAGCACGTGGGACCCTGCCTCTGGCCGGGCCAGTCCACGACCAGGACTCCGGCAGCACGTGGGACCCTGCCTCTGGCCGGGCCACTCCAGGACAATGATGCCGGCAGCACGTGGGACCCTGCCTCTGGCAGGGCCACTCCAGGACCAGGACTCCGGCAGCACGTAGGACCCTGCCTCTGGCCGGGCCACTCCAGGACCAGGACTCCGGCAGCACGTGGGACCCTGCCTCTGGCCGGGCCACTCCAGGACCAGGACTCCGGCAGCACGTGGGACCCTGCCTCTGGCCGGGCCAGTCCACGACCAGGACTCCGGCAGCACGTGGGACCCTGCCTCTGGCCGGGCCACTCCAGGACCAGGACTCCGGCAGCACGTGGGACCCTGCCTCTGGCCGAATCTGGAACCCTCGGCCTTCAGAGCGACAGGGCACGCGGCTTGAACATCATCCCAGATGAACTCTCCGAGAGCTTTATACACAGCACAGGAAAAAGCCCTTCGAGGTGTCCGTGACGTGTTTCTACCACCCAGGCAGAACGACGCCGACGTCCTCGGTGCCAACGCACACATCCTTTTTCCAAAAAAGAAAAGGCAGGTGGAGATGCACTGGAAAGCGGCCCCACGGATCTGCTTCCTGCACACCATCACGGCACGTGTCCCCACCCGCAGCCTCGGGGGGAGGCGCTCGCACAC